TGTGTACTGGTTTTAAGGTATTTAATTGCTGCTTTAATGGAACACCTATCCATCTGTATTATTATTTCATAAAAATATAAGGATGGTTAAAATATGCGTATAATGTACAAGGCATCTGAAGTTTCTCCAGATGTCAACATATGTCAACATATAAATGATGTCAACATATACTATATTTAGTAAATGTGAACATTTATAATTGAAATCATAACTTTTGAACAAAACTTTAAATAACCTATATTTATATAATATTTTTTCTTATTTTTGTGCATAGAATCTGCAGACATCATTTGGTTAAAAAAACCTCAGACACACATTATATATAAAAATTATATTTATTTTTTTTACTTACCTGTACATTTCAATGACCAGGGCTTTACCTTCCTCTCTAACCGTTTTATCTCTATCTTCTAAAAAACTAGGAATTTTCTTTATCAGAGGCTTGACATTAATAACTTTGGATCCAAATTCGCTATAAAAAAAGATTTGCATTTGATAGAAAATAAAAATAATTATTAAAAAAGTATAATAGATATATCATGAAACAATATTTTGAATTTAGAACATAATTTATGATTTACCTTAGACTAAGAGTCAAAGCAGCAATACAGGCAGATACAATTTTAGGATTTTTTGCCTCTGTCCCTTTAAGTAATTCTTCTTGTACTGTTTCATGTTTTTCTATTTCTATATACATTAATGTTATTTGTACTGCTAAATCTTTCGTTTTAGCTTTGGGTGCAGCGATACATTTGGTCACTATGCCATTCATAACTTCACCAACCGTTCTAAAAGTATATAATAATACAAAGTAAAAATAAAAGAAATAAATGATTTGAAGTTTATAGAATAATATTGAATCTTACTTTATATAGATTAATGTTAAATTGTTTTAACATAAATATATTTACAAATTTTTTACTCACTTTCCAGCAACAGCCGCATTTTCCACAAAAGCTAGCACAGCTTCTAAACCTTTCTCTTGTGCCGCAGCATTGCTGTCCGATACAAATTTCTTAACGAAGCCTAAAAACTTATTCCATTCGGGTGATTTTTCATCATCTATGCATTGAAATGTTTTTACACATTCTTCGTATCCATGTAACCTTGCCCTCCATGACTATAAATAAGAAAAATAAAATAAAATAAAATAATAATAATAACAAATATACAGTTAATATCATAAACTATTAATAAATATAAATGATCACAATAATACCTTATGTACACAGCGCTCTTCCAATGGCAATTTCACATATTCCGTATCTTGCTCCATATTTTGGGACCTGATTGAATAACCAAAATATCAATTAAAACAATTTCAAGGACAATCAAAATTCACATATAATAAATATTCATCTTGACAACTAATGACTAATAGATGTTATTATATACTATGGATATCATATTGCTTTGTGGTATTTTCAATAAGGATTCTTCCTTGAATCACGCAGTAGCAAGATATAACGTGGTCACGTGATCATTCACGCAACCGTATTAAGAAAATGCAATGCTGCACGTGGGAATAAAAAAAAAAATACTTCAGTAACTTACGAATATATATATTATTACAGAATTAATTCTTTAGGAAAAATAATTATTAAGAAAAAGTAAAGAAACTTAATCTTTTCGTAATCGATGAAATTTGAACCTATAGAATGAAAATGTTATAATCTATCGTACAAATTCAGATGTGAACCATTGCAAAATTTATCTTTTTCTTCCACAACAAATATATGATCATCTCATTATTCTGTAATAATTATATTTAAAACAAAATTTGATGCCTGTATGACATATATATACATAATTCGAAAATGGCGCTGAAAAGTATGTGTACTGATGATAACAAAGAATTGAATAAAACATTGATGGTGTGTGTGTGTGTGTGTGCGCGTGTGTGGAAGAGGATATACCGCCACTGAAATCATGAAGCCTTTGTTCAATAAATGTTTTATTCGTTTACTGACTTATTTTTTGTCTTTTATTTGACTTTCAATAATCGAATAAAAGTTAGATTCTATTTAAAGGATCTCATGCACTTTATCTTTGCAATTTTTATGAATATGTATATTAAAGTAATCGATCTGCGCAGTAAAGTATTGGAAAGCAAAGAGGAGAGGAACAGGCGAAGGGGAAGAGGGATTACTTTCTTACATGGTTTCTGTATGCATGTGTTATTTAAGAAACTTAAAGTCATATATGTGAAATAATTTGTTAATATAATATCAAAACTATTAAAACGAAAGTAATAATTTGTTAGATTTAAATAATAGGAATTGAAATGAAAAAAGAAATATTAAGGTTAAGGGATCAAAAAAAGAAGCAAGTAACATATGATTAAGGTTATAAATTTATCATAATGTTAATTGTTCTAAAATATTAAGTATATAATAATGTTTAGCATCAATGTAATATTTGCATCTAATTGTTTATAAATAAAGAATCATTTTGTTAATTCTGTTATTTCAAATCAATGATATATGTTCTTTCATTTGCCAAATTGATTATCTCCACAAAAGAAAAAGTAGAAAAAATTGATAACATTGTGTTACACAGTCAATCGCTTTGTTTTTTTAACGATTCATATATAGGAATTTTTGTATTATAGCGTATATAGTTCTAAGATACAAAGAATATTTAATTTATCAAGAAATATTAATAAAAAAGAAATATTTGTTGATAAATTTTTATAAATGTATTTTATTTTATGATATTTATTTAATTTTTAAATAAATATATATATTTTCTACACTATTAATATAGAAAAGAAATAGATATTTGCAAAGTAGTGTTATTGCATTTAGCATAATAAAGTAAAAAAATGCAAGAATTAGATAATACATAATCATATTTTTACAATAAGTGAAATATGCAATGCATATAAAAAGTTTGAAATAAGGTTTGTTTCTCTAATATGTGTGCTACCATGCAGCGGAGAATAGATTCTGATCACAGTTTAGACTTATTTTTTGCATTAAGTACTGTCACAAATGTTTGATGATGAGATCTCAATGAAAATCAGTGCGTCACAGATATGCGACACTGGTAGGAAACATGTTAAAGATATCAATGAATACACATATTAAAAGTTAACCACAATTCAAAATGGTAAACCAAAAATAAAATAGTAACTAACTAAAACTGAGATATTTTTTATTAGAACAATTAATATAATTTTAGAAATAAATATTTTGACAACGTTAACTTTGTAAATGTTTAACTTAAAATGAATTCAACATATTTGTACCATATAAAATTTATTCTTGCTTAACACAATGTATTTATCTTAAATAATGAAATACGTGTAAAAGTTAATAAATAATTTTCTTCATTCATTATTTATTAACAATCATAATTTTATCTTTATTTTAATTAAGCAAAAAAGAATGATATTTTCAATGGATAATATAAAATAATTATTTGTCAATATACATGTGTGTGTAACTGTATATAAAAATCAATTAACGTTGGATTATACTTTATGGAAATATTTCAAAATTGTTATAGAGTTCAGAATAACAAAGACATCTACAGATCAAAGTAAATAGAACGAATTAGTTAATTTAATGTTGGTAGATTGAAACGATCAATCTGAAAATTGATTCGTTTAAAAAATTATTTAATATCATCGAATAATATTAAACAATGTTTTTACGTTTTAAGTTTATATAATTGGCATTTTTCTACGATTAAATATTTGTACGAATGAGAATGTATTAAGAAAATAATGAATGATATGCGCTGTTTTTTTTTTTTAATTTGTACTCACCTTTTGAGAAGACGTTAAAAAAGGTCCCTTCACAGAGCTCTTTAGATTATTCAGTAAATTCGTTTTATATTTCCTTATATAGTTTGTTTTAAACGATTAGCTAATAAAAGGGAAATATTAATGATTACTTTGGATTAATGACTTTACTTGAGGCTCGATAGCCATTAAATATTTAACAGTCAATTTTCAAACATACGTAATCTTACCTTTAACCGTCAAATGTGAATGCAAACAAAAAGATGATTGCTTTCGATACTTTCCGCACAACAAATTGTAGGATCTCTTCAATCTAGTTGTCTTGTTCTGATCTCAATAGATGGCACTACAGTCGTTCGCCATAGACGTAACGATACGAACATATTCTTTTCACTTTTAATTATGAATATCTTCAGATAAGAAAAGCTATATTATGTTTCATTTTAGATTTTAATGGCTTTAATTAATATCTTAATTAAGATCTTTTAAATTGTTTTGTTCATTCATGGAATAGAAATAAATATTTTTAATTAGATGTTTAATCGTTAGTTCACCAAATGGCACTAGAGTCGTTCGTCATAGACGTAATGAAATGAATTCTATTTCTTCTGATCCACGATAGGTGGATACATTTTACTAGATAATTATTGACATCGGGATAATGTGTAATACTATTACTAAAATAATAATAATTTCATGTTATTGACGTTACCAAAAAGAGAATAATATAATTATTTTATTTGAATTTGTAAATTTTGTTTTTTTAAACTTTCACGCTTTTTAAATGTATATATATCTATTAAAGAATCTGATAATTAACATTTTTTAATTTCTCTTTCATTTTTATTATACATATCATTTTAATTCTTTGATAAGCAAAAAATAAATTAATAGTATTTTTTTATTTAAATACTTTACATTGGTTTCGTAAATAATATATAAACATATATAAACTTAATAATTTTAACGATCATAGAATATTCATTTTTAACATAACTTGAAATAATTTTTGAAATAAAAACTAAAACATTAATGATACTTGGACAAATTTAATATGGTTGATAGAAAACGTTTGACTTTTTCTTATTTTACTTTACGTAAATAATAGATAAAACAAATATGCGAAAGAAATATGAAAATATACGTTGGGTAATGATTATCATTTGAATTTGATATATAAATAACAATAATTGATATAATTCTCGTACAAATGCCTCATGCAATCAAGTATTTTCAAATACATTTTTGCTTGATTCTTTTTCTTATTTTTTATTTTTGTTAAATCAATTAATCATTTTATAATATAAATCAAATTTTTCATATGTTAACCCTTTCGTCACGGCGTGCTTTAGTGCAAGTATCATCCCATAGAAATTTGCTAGTACATGCGTATCGTCGCATGGTATACAACTTCTATATGGGTCGGTCGATCGTTCATACGAGACTTTTGCATGGACAACCAGTATATGGGTTGTTAGTAACGAAAGGGTTAAAGATTTCTTTCTTTCAAACAAAACGATAATATTTATCGAGATTGGACAATATATCAATATATATACAGCACTACATGTCTTTAAATAATTATATATTTTTATCTTCGATAAGAAATTAATTGTATTATTCAACAAATTGATGATTTCTATCATTCAAATGATTCCCTTGCAGAAATATAACTTTCGAGGTAGGATCGCGAAAGAAAACCTTATTATTATTTTGTTTCTCTAGGGTTGTGATCATTTGACAAGGCATGTATTGCTGGCCAATAGTTTGATCGTTATTATGAAAATAAATGGGAATTCTCTGGGCGTTCAGATCTTTTTCAATGGCAAAGTATTTCGTAGGTTGATCAATGTTTGGAAGTATTGCGCACTCATTAGTACGTTTTTGTTCCTGTACCGAATTTAAGGCATTGACATAAACATTTTGATTGTCATTCAATGTTAATAATTGAAGATTTTGTAATTCGCTAAATGCATAAACGTGCGGATCGTTTTTTCGGAACATAAATTGAATATTTTGCGAAGTAATAGGAACGGCTGGTTGTTGTTGTTGTATTATAGATTGAGATAACGTTTGCCCATATGTCCTCAAATTATTTGATTTATTGTTAGTTGATGCTAATCCTTGATTTGATAGTTTTTGTTCGTTGGACGGTTTGATCGATTGATTTATAATTTGAAAATAAACGGGCTTATTATCATTGTTATCTTGACAATTTTCTGTCGTAGTTGTAGTGTAGGCATCGCACTGCGATGGATTTATAAATTTTACTTCCGGTTGATAAATAAGATCAGATTTAGTTGATCTCAGTAAAAAAGGTTGATTATCATTTCGTATTTCCTGTCTCAAAATTTGGCAATTTTTAAGATGCACTTTATCCTTCGTTTGTCGAACATTTTTAATCGGTTGAATTTGATTGTGATTTACAGAATAATGTGATTGCGTCGAAGGATCAGCATTGAATAATATTTTTTTAGAAAATGTTACGGATTTTTGTGGTTCATGAAATTGCATAGATTTCTTCGTTTCTTTATTTATATTCGATTTAGTTTTCTTCTTTTGCATCTTCTTTTCAACGGGTACACAAAAATCTAACGTTCTATGCATAGTGGGGGATTCTTCTTCTAATGGCATCGCACGATGTTTATTTGTAAAATATTTATCATTAAAGTATTGCGTTTTTATTATCGAATTATTCTCGTTCGATGATACAGACGAAGAAATATTGAAATTGAAGTCTACTTTTTGATTCGATGATTCTTGAAAATATTTAACACCGTCCTGTTTATTATTATTCAAAATATAAGTGAGATTGCTTATATTTGTAGGATCGCAAATGGATCTTCGAAGAATTGTTGGTACGTGTTTGAAATTTTTCGTAGATTTCCATATCATAGCACGAGCATTTAAATTCTTACACAAATCATCATCATCTTTGCTTTTGTCCTTATACGATTCACGAATCTTATGTTTTTTTTTAGAATCCTTTTCCAAATTGTTGATAAATTTGTATGTATTCATATGATGATCATCATCTTGCAAAAAATCAATTTTCGATGATTTTTTATTATCAATTTGATTTCTTTTAACGTCTTGCGGTATATATTTTCGATTATTTTTAATTAAAATTTTATCGTCTGGTATTCCAGATTTCATATTATGTTTTACACATCTTTCACAATTATTTTCATCATCCGTCGAAGAAGTAATCGTCGAGATAGGTCGATCAAACAGTTTCAATGGCAATTGGAAATTAGGTGGATTATTATCAAAGTTTCTTTTCTTTGACACGACTTTAATCTTATTATAATTCTTTGGTATAGAAAATAGAAAATTATTTGATTTAATTTTATCATCGATCTCGCAATGGAATTTAGGTGAAATTTCTAAATGTGAATCCTCAACGGCGTCTGCTGTTAATGATTCCGAATGATCGGAAGATACATAAGATTTTGATTGTTTATTCGTTTCATTTTTAATATCGTTTCCAATGATCGGTGATTTAGATGAATTATCTTTTTGTTTATCATCTATGTAATCAGTAATCTTTACGTCTGGTCGTGAAAAATGTTGACACATAGCGTTCATGTGTATGCGTTTAAGATTTTCTTTAACTTTTAGAATTGGATCTGAAAATTTGTATGTTGTACACCATATTCTTATAATTAATTATATTTATTTATTTCTATACAAAAATGATGATAATACTACTGCTGCTGCTGCTGCTGCTGATGATGATGATGATGATGATGATGATGATGATGATGATGATGATGATAATGATGATTATGATAATGATGTTTATTTTGATTATGATGATTTGAACGCGCGATAAAATTTATTTACATTAAATTAAAGTACCTGGCAAATTAGGGAGAATAATCGTGTCATGATCGTCAAAGTTTTCCGAACAAATCATAGCACAGAATTCTTCATATCGAAACATTGCGGACCAAGTAAATTTTTTCGAATTTATCAAGTGTTTCTTTGAAATTTTTTTTTGGCATTGTATATCCTCGTCCGAGGAGATAATATTTTCGAAAAGTTTATCTTTTTTAGTGCAATCGACTCGTACTGTATTAGGTAAAAGTCTAAAATAGAACAAGAGATTATATAAGACGCATATAAACTACATTCTAATTTTTCAATTTATTGGTTGCAATACAAATTATAAATGTAATTGATCCGTATTTAATCTAGCAATAAGATTGACAAATGTTCTGAATCATTGTATTTAGAAATTTGATTAAAATGTATTCAATTTTAATAGCTTGCGAAAATATAAGAATTTTTATGACGGCAATTTCAAAAACATCGTAAATTGTGTTACGGAATAACGTGTACCCAAAAATGTTTATGTGCCGACAAATTTTCGGGATCTCGATCCGAAACTGAAAATAATTCCCGACCTAAACCCAAACCCATAATTTCTAATAGCCGCACATCCCTAGTTTTTAAATATTCAATTTGAAAACTTATATGATTCAAATGTTGAATAACTGTTGAATTAGAAAAAGAAAAATAACGTACTCGAGTACATCTTCGGACTTTTCTGAGCTGTCTTGATCTAAAAATTTCGCAACTTCTCCTTGTAATCGAGCTTTGTAAAATTTATTCGGTTGTAATTTACCTGCAATCGATTATAAATAGTATTACGTTATTTAAATTTTCTTTTTTTTTGTTTTAATGTTATTTTTTTTATATTGCTTTGGCCAGATATAAGTAACGACGAAAATTTTAATAAAAAAAATATATATATATTATACTAATGTCGTTTGTTTACAGTTAGATATCAAGTGATAAAAAGGATTTTTCTTAACAAAATATACTATATTGTTTTATTTATTTATTTATATAAAATAGTAAAAAATCTTTCAACGGAAAAAAATACTAATTGTAAGATAAACAATTTATTTTTATATTTAAATACATAATCTTATTTTATGTGTAGACATAAAAAATATCCAAAATTCGTTCAATACAAAATACAATAGTTTATGCGTATTATATATTTAGAAATAAAATTCTAAAAATTTCACCATTACTTATAGACCAATTCAATTTTCTTATGAACATTTTTATTGCACATATTTACAATCATACCTTTTCTTACTTCTTTGCCTTTTGCCCCGTTTCTGTAAATCTTGATTAACTGTGTCAAAGATAAATATAGTATAATATAACATAAATCAAATTTTCGATTGTATTATTGTATCTTAACCTTTTCGATAATTAATTATGCATAATATACAATCAACTCTATAAAACGCGATATTCTGAAAATATGATTTCAATATTACGCGGTAGTAAAATATCTAAAAGCGGCCCCTATATATATATACATACCCTATATATATAACATGATATTCTTAAATAAAAATTACATTTTCATACAGGTACGATTTAATGAACTTGGGCAACCCTCATACAGCACTAATCTCTCAATCGCACTGTTTTGTTTCGTTTAACACGGTTTCGATAGTACGCGGAATTGCGTTGTATTCATAAACGCGTCATTTTTAATTGCTTTCCTTTCTCTCTATTTTTTTTTAAATAAATCTTTAAATATTTAAATAAATTGTTTAAAAAATAATTTACTTATATTTTGCATATAAAACAATGTATGACGAACCTCGTAGAAAGATAGTAAATAGTTCGATTGTGTAGTAAATAAATCGATCGAGAGTGAAATTAATACGAAATTGAAATCGAATATTATTATTTACTAAATTCGTATTGGTATTTCATATAAACACGATTCTTACGTATATATATTAGGTGTACGAATAGATCCTAAAGCATTATTTTTGTGATGCATAATTGTAATTTGAAATATCAAATATTTTCCCACTTTTTTTTTATTTTATGGTATATGTCACGTAGTAAAAAAAAAATAACGATCAATTTGATAAAATTGCGAAAATAATTTAAAAATGAAGCAGTTTAAAAATTTCAGATGACATACGGGCCTTTACATGGAAAACCCGTTAATAACAAAAGGATTAAATGATTATTATATAAAAATAATTTGTTTAATATTAATTTTTTGTTCTTCTAATAGGAATCAAATAAATATTTCTTTTTCAATTTACATAAATTCGTAAAAGAGTAAACAATAAAGGATAGAAATTTTCAATCTTTCTTAAGTAATCAAAGTTTAAATATTTTTCCATTAATTTAATAACGTAAACAAAATATTCTATCTGTATTGAAATACACACTAGAAAATATTTCGCGAGCAGAAAGATAAAT